CTGAGAGAAAAAGAGAAACAACAATTGCATTCATAGGCCACACGTGGCAATTATCTGCACGGAAATGGTTGTTGATTTGAAAGCATAAGAACAAAGGCTCTAAAAGACAAAATGAAGTACGTAGTACACACTACGCGTATTATGCAGCAAAAAGGACATCGCTACCTGTTTCTCTATACCAACAGTCTGTCACACTATGCCTTGTCCCCCACTACTGCCTGTACCTGATCTCCATGTTGTACGTATGAGAAGGAAAATGACTGAACTTTGCTGATATTCTTTTGGGCCTGTTTTGATTTATTCTCAAGTCCATGATCTAAGACAAATGGCAAAACCCTAGATGAAGCAACTATAAAAGCAACTCTTGAAGAATGAAAAAAGAGTACAGTGTTTGTCAGAGAAAAATCCCGTAGAACAAACGAGTGAAGAAAAGAAATGAGTGGAAATAGAGATTCTTCTTCTTACCACCTCAAGTGCATACTGTTGAATCCTAAGGTGACATAAGTTGTCTCTTGGTGATTAACCATTGTAAGAAGACAAGACGTTTCTCTTAGATTATTATTTTGTTTCCACTATGTGTTTAAGAATGATTAGCTTAAGGATCAGTAATGTAGTTTGTAGTCAGCTCATTATGAGCTAAACATTTGTTTGTTGAGCAATGAGAATTTGATATAATTTAGTTTTTATGTTAGGTGATGTGTTGTTAATGGTTTGTTTTAGCATGTGTTAACTTGCTATAAATATCATTATGTGCTTGATCAACTTAGAAAAAAATAAAAATTTGTTGTTGTGAGAGATCCAACAACTGGCGGGTTTCTTGATAAAAATGGTTGAAAATAGTAGGATATAGATATTCACTAAATTAGCTTCTTAGAGATAAGTAGCTACACCCATAAAGGATTTTCAGAGTAAGAACATGCATGCTTTAGGGTTACAAGTGAGGCTTAAAGATTTGTTCCCTTTCCCTAAAGTATATGTTTTTAATATTGTAGAGATACACCTTTAGATCATGACCTTTCTTGGTACGATACAACACATCATGCATATATAAATGACTAAGTTATATTAATGGATCATTGTCTAACATGTTCTTTATTATTGAACTCAAATCACCTCTTTAACACTATTCTACATTTGTTTATTACTCAACTGAACCTGTGACAATTATATATTATTTTACCTTACTCAAATCACCTGTGACAATTATATATATATATATATATATATATATATATATATATATATATATATATATATATATATATAATATATATATATATATATATATATATATATATATATATATATATATATATATATATATATATATATATATATATATATATATATATATATATATATATATATATATATATATATATATATTTGCATGTGACACCATATATTTTCAAACAACAACATTTAAAAGGATTATGAATGAAACAATTCAAAAAAGATTGAAAGTGACTAAGTGATTTGAGTAAGTGAATGACATAAATATGAGAAAAAAAGGTACTAAAATAAAACTTAAAATGTATAATAGAGACACACAAAATTGATATATCAAAATGAACCATTATAAAAATTCACTAGTACAAAAAAAAAACTTATTAAATCAGCTAAAAATACATTATTTTGTGAGAATGTGATATATGTTTTATCATCTATAGTTAAAAACCTCACTAAATATATTGTAATTTTTTTAGTGATATATTTATGCTCCCCTTCACAAAAATAATAAAAATTTATTAATTTTTGATAAATTCTTTGACACACGTGAGTTTTACTTAGATACTGATATCTTTAATGAAATTAATTTTTTTTAAATAAGAAGAAGATAAGTCATTAAATAACATTATTTGATTGGATGATAGGTGTATATTCAATTAAATTCAAAGGATATCAAAGTGTTTACCTAAATTTTTTATATTAATTAATTAATAATTATTCTTTATTATTTAAATATTAAATTTAGTAAATAATTAAAAAAATATTTTTTTTAAGTAAAACACCCCTAAGGTCAGGTTGTCGATTATCTGATTTACAAAAATTTTGTATCAGTTAAAAAATAATATGACTTAAGAAAACTAAATTAAAATTTATTTTATTAATAATAAATCGGAAACATGATTTCTCAAAGATTTAGATCAAAGCGCACTAAGTGAACCTAAAATTTAAGTTTTATCAAGAACATCAAAAACACAATACACTTGCAATAAAAATTAAATACAAATATTACCACTTGATGATGAGCTCTAAATACGACCTGATGTGGGCAAAAATATTTCCATGTATAATGAATGGTTTAACAAAGTGACTTATTGAATCAAAATGACAAATAAAAGAGAAAACAAAAAACAAAATATGGATAAGATAGTATTATTCTGTGAGTATAAATTCTGCTAGTCGTCTTCAGAACATAGAATCCACTGTTTTGCATGTTATTATTGAAAGAAGCCATTGACAAATGTTGATCTATTGGCCAAAGTTTTATCCAAATAAGATAAGATGAATCAGACATTAACATCATCCTCGTAATACCTTTTGTAAAAGGAAGAACCAATAGGGTTCGGATGATATCACACATGCTTCTTCCTATATGGAGTATC